ATACGTTGTATGTACCCTTTTAATAGGGGACACACCATATGTCTGTGAAATGGCCTGTTGGTAAATAAATGATTTAAAATACTTTTTATCGACTTTTAATCACGCGTCCAGACATTGATAATCCGTATGTATTTATTATTATTTATTATTATTACTATTTATTTTATTTAGTTATTTTACTTTTTTTTTAAAAAAAAAAACGTGCCTAGAGCTAAAACAATTGATTTCATATTTAATATATAGTGATCAACGTATAACCCAAGACGTAGATAAATTTGCAGATTCACTAAGAGTTATTTGTGAAGAAGTCATCATTGCTCCCATTCTTATAGCTTATTACACTTATCTGACATGGGTATTTAGTGGCTATTTGGGTCCATTGTTGATTTATGCATATTTTATTTTTGGCATTATTGGAAGCCGATTTCTTATTGTTCCATTAGTAAACTTGGTGTTCATGAAAGAATTTCATGAAGGAAATTTCAGGTGATTTTAGTTTTTATTATACTTTTTATTTATTTTAATAAAAAAAATTAGCTAATTAAATGTTTTTATTAAAGATTGCTTCATGTAAGGATTCGCCATTTTGCTGAATCCATTGCATTCGGCTTGGGTGAACGTGCCGAATATATTCGATTAAATAATTACTTTGCAAAAATTCTGTCTTTCACGAACAAAATAATAGAAAGAGAGCTTTACTTGCAAGGTAAAATCTATTTATCCAATTTTAAAATTATAAATTCTAACCTTTATAAACCTTTAAAAATTATTTACAAATTATAATTAAATTTCTGTTCCAAATTCTAATAAATTTTTATTTTATTTATCATAGCCTTCACCGAATCAATTTCATATTTTGGATCTATTCTTAGTTATATCATTATCGCAATTCTTATTTTCAACGGCACGTACGATGATGTTGATAAAGATAAGCTTAGTGGAATAATTAGCATGGTTGGTTTTCTTTTTATTTTTTTTTTTAAAAAAAATAATAATAATATTTATTAGACTATGTAGTTAGATATTATAATCACGAATTTACTAATTTCGCGACATTCTCATTTTCTAAAGAATTCTTTTATCACAATGTACCTTATCTACAGATGTACTAAAATCGTTGATCAAGCTGTTGAAATATCTGATTTGGCCGGTTATACTGCACGTATAGGTCAACTTTTAGAAGCTGTTCAAGAAGTTGATAATGAACTCGAAAATATTAATATTGATAGTCCATTTGGTGGGCAACTAAGGTTTGTTTCATATTCATTAATATATCTGTATTATCTATATACTTTATAAATTTTCTTATTTATTTATTTTTTACATTAATAAACAGTGGTGAAATAATAATAACATTCGATCAAATTTCTATATCAACTCCATCTGGTCAACAACTATTATCTGATTTCAAATTTATGATTGAACAAGAAAAAAATTTAATGATAATAGGTCCTAATGGTAGTGGTAAAACTTCATTACTACGAGTAATGTGTGGTCTTTGGCCAACTACAAAAGGTCGTATCATAATACCACACACAAATGATCAACAAAGAATGTTTGTGTATTTACCGCAAACTCCGTATTTGGTGTTTGGTTCTTTAAGAGATCAGATAACTTATCCTTTGATAAATGATGAAAAGACTAAGCATGGTATGTATTTTAATCTTATTTTCATTTTTTTTTTTCAATTTCAATTCTTTTTTGTTAATTTTATTTATTTTATAATTTTAGCAACTGATGAGGAAGTGCGCACTGTATTAGCAATGGTAAATCTTACTCACCTAGAACAGTTGCTGTCTAACTTTGATGCTCATTACGGAATAGATTGGGATAAAATATTGAGTCCAGGTGAACAACAAAAATTAGCATTTGCTAGATTATTTTTCTGGAGGCCTATATTTGCTGGTAATTATTATTTTTTTAATTTTTTTTAAACAGTATTTTTAAATAATATTTTAATTGACTTTATTAAAATTATCTTTCCTAATTTTTTTTTTACAGCATTGGATGAATCAACAAGTTCATTAGATTCATATATAGAATCCCACTTTTTTGAAACATGCAAAGAGTTAAATATCACAACCATAACGGTATCTCATAATAAGAATTTATTAAAATATCACGATAAAGTATTATTATTGGATGGAAAAGGTGGTTATTCTACTAGTGATATAGATATTAATGGATTTGATGATATTTGCAGATGGGTTGATGGAAATTTGAGACTTTAAGTTCTTTTTTTTTTGTTTATTCAGAATTTTTTTTTTAAAAAGTTTATACCAGAGTGAGCGTTCATTTATTCACAAAATGACATCATTTTTTTTTTTTTTGTTTTGTACAGTTTTTTTTTCCCTTATTTTTTTTTTTTTTTTTAGTTTGTAATTGGGGAAAGTAAAAAGTACCCACGGCATTTTTTTGCATCAAACGAATTTGTTATCTAATGAACAATTTTTTACATTAGTATTTCATCTGTAGAGTACTTTATATTTTTCATTTGCATTTTTTTTTTTTGTGTGATTATTGTGAAAATTATATTTTCCTTAACGAAATAAATAGTTTTTATAATAATTTTTTTATCGTGCATTATATCATGAGGAACTACAGCAGCAAAAGATAAGATAAATATGTAATGTACCTACGTGAAGTGTTGTCATGGGACAACGGACATGTCCGCTAAAATTTTAACGTCTCGGACAATTAAAGTTATAATAAGAGCGGCCTTGTTAGCCAATCAGATCGTTTTATAATCCCTTGTGTGTCAATGTACTATCACGGACATAGGACATTGTCCGGGACATGGGACATCGTCCGCGTCCCTGCAATATTAACGGGACTGCCTACGTGTACGTATGCATGAAACGCATTGTGCATATAAGTACTGTACGTAGGCTTTTGTCAATAAAGTTAAATAAAGTAAAATTTTTTAAAAGTTTCAAACTTTATCTTAAATTATAAAAATAAAGAAACTATTGTTCTAAACATAAAAAAAAAAAGATTATATTTTATGATAATAAAACAATGGTTTTTAAAAGAATTAATTAATCTAATAACGATAATATATAACTGATAATAATCAGATATGATACGTATTAGAATACTAATTGATTTATCATAACAGATAATATATACATATGAGGGCTTTGCAGTTAAAAGGGCCCAAACTCCGATATATATAATTTTGAAATAATTGGGTTCGAAAATTTTTTGTTTTGTTCGGACTGATCCGGGTTAACAAAATACCACGATTTTGATTGGTTAAATATATCGGATAATCCCGTGATTTACCTTGCCTTCGACGATTTCAATTTTTTAGACGCTGCATTATCTCGACTTTTTATTAAGTAAATCAGGTTTCATTTATAATTGAAAAATGTACCAAATACTGAATTTTATTTATATTTAGTAAAAATTCGATTTTTGCTTCTGGGGTAGTTTCGGCCTTTTTAACTGCAAAGCCCTCATATACGTACTAGTGATTTGAACCGGTTGGGCTATAATCGGATAACTGAACCAAACCGAGAAATTTTCGGTTAACCGATTGAGGACAGCTGATTAAAAATTGACCGAATAATTATTGATCAATTTTTCTAATCAGCTGTCCAATGAAAAAAAAATTGGTTTGATAATAAGCCGATTAACAGGTTAACTAACTAGCTAGTGCTATAGTATGATCCAGCATAATATCTTATAGCGCATTAATGCAAATGTTAGTTCCCAGCATTATCAAATCGGTTTAAATTATAATTTGACGCTTGCTATATAATTATTATTTGATCATGGATTGTAAAATTGCTTATGAATTTTTTACCGTTACGTATTTATATAGGTTGTAAAGTTACTCGCTTGTTTACAATATTTAGTGTGATTACAGAGATTGAATAGTAATAATTTAATCGAATAGTTTACGGATTATAACAATCTGACCGTACATTTTAGCCCATATTCTAGGACTCGCATAATTCGCATAATTTACGATTCGTCGCGCAAATAATTTTGCAATTAGGCCATACAAAAAATTTTCTTGGTTTACATAACCCGGCCGGGTCAAAATTTTAAAACTTTTGAAACTTTTTTTTTTATATGTTATAATAACCGGGTGGGTTTTTTTAAAAAAATTTTATACAATTTTTATATATAAAAGTTGAAAAAAAAAAGCCGGGTTGCCGGGTCTGTTTTAAAATTTTATGTTATGAAAACCAAAAAAATTATTTTGTATGGCCTTACCGGATCATAATCCTGAACATTACCAGTACCGACTTTATAGATTGAGGTGGGTTCTGATTGAACCGGTTGTTCTGATTATTCGTAACAGAGCCACGGATTATATTAAACAGCGTTAGAAAAATAAAAATTTTCTCACAGCCTACAACCGGTTGCCAATTATTTGATTTTTCTTTACCCGGTTCAAATAACTAGAAATAATCGTTTTTATTATTCGTAAAAAAAATTGATAATTGGAAATATTGTATTTGGATAATTTTTTTAGTCAATATTAATTTTATAATTTAGGTCCAATAAAAAAATCAAAATTAGTGCTGCCAGAAGAAAAACCAGACCTTTGATTTTTACTTTTATAACTTATCGGATTAGCTCTAGTCGATTAGATGATATTATTTTTTGTTAACTAATGTTATACGTTGTATGTACCCTTTTAATAGGGGACACACCATATGTCTGTGAAATGGCCTGTTGGTAAATAAATGATTTAATAATACCTGAATAAAGATTTTTTCAACGGGTCCAAAATCTCTAGTGCAATAATTCTCCCTGGCAAACCCCATCCACATGATTTACTGGATCACGTCATAGAAAATTGGTAATAGTAAAAACTTATTACAATAAAGTTTAATATTATCCATATTTTGCTCTTTAAAATAAAAAAAAAGGTTTTAGACGAAGTACATGAAAAAAAGTTATATGGATGGTAGGGGATAAATCAATTATATCCTGAGTAGTTGGGTGTAAGCGAAATTTTGCCGTAAAGTATAATTATTACTTATTCATTATCCCGAAATTTTCGAAATATAATAACCAGTATTGGCAACAATAGATGAATAGAACAATAGAACAATAGAATAGAGCAATAGAATTTAGAATAGAATAAAATTTTTGTCAATAGAACAAAAAATTGCCAACAAGATTATTAGTTATTAATATAACAATAAATAAATAGAACAATAGAACAATAGAATAGAGCAATAGAAATTAGAATAGAATATAATTTTTATCAATAGAACAAGAAATTGACAACACTGATAATAACCAATAAAAATCAAGAATTTTATGAAAAATGCTAGGAATGGAAAATTATCAAATATTTAGATTTGTCTTTGATTACTGAGTAATGTTTACTTAATGTTAAGAGCACATTTGATATTAGCGGAATTATAGCAGATCAGTAATGGCATGGTTTCTAAAATCGGACGCTATAATTCCTAGAAAATCAATATTAACGTGAAATAATGAATAACTAATTATAAATATTTTTTATTAATAAAACAAGAAGGTTGCATGATCTTATTAAACTATGAAAAAAAAAGACATGGGCCTAAAATTTAATTTGAATAGATAGTTTTTGATTATATAATTATTTACAAATCATAATAATATCATTGAATATAATAAAAATATTGTATCATAAACAATTTAACTCTTATATTTTAATATTGTATCATAAACAATTGAACTTTTATATTTAATATTACATCATAAACAACTCTTTCTGATGATCCTTCGCACCAAAAATTTCTAACTTATTTTTTTAAAAAATATACAATAAATTTTGTAGAAATACAAGAGCAACAACACAAAAAAGCATAAGACAGCACCTGTTATTTAGAGATAGTTCTTATACACTATCTGCTAATAGGTTTAGAGTTTATCACTTACTACAATATCATAGCAGCATTTGTTATTTAGAAGTAGTTCTCATACACTACTTGCTAACAAGCTTAGAGTTTATTATTTATCTACAGAAGATAAATACTAGTTACACTTTAGGTAGATACAAGTAGATAGTAGATTTTGGAAAATACATACTCTCTTTAAATTTTTTGGTGCTATTTTCACTTTTTCTCTAGGCCTTTTGGATTTCTCTATACTGAAAAATGAAAAAGTGACAGATTTGGTGAACTTCTGACAAAGGATCTGTAAGTTTATACTACTTTCTAATTTGACAAGTTATTTGTTAGTATGTAACTTAAACAAGACAACAAACACATATATCACTATTACGTAAATAATTTAATTAGGATTTAACTTCCAAATGAGTCTATTACTAGAGATATGCATTCTTGTTTTTGCATAGCATAATATTTTTATATTTTGTTATACTCTTTTTTTCTTTATATTAATAAGAATATTTGTTTTCTTTTTTTTTCTTCTTTACTTTTTTACTTGTAAGGGTTTTTTAATTTAGTAGTAGATTTTTCCCTTATAAGTTTAGTTCATATAATTAGCTATGTTTCATTATATGTAACAATTTTTATTTTTAACTTAGACTAGGTATTAATAGTTTTTTAGTTTCAATTAGATTAGAAGCAACTTAGAACCTTAATAAAGTATAAAAGAATCTATTGTTGATCTAAAAGAACTACTCTACTTAGGTAAGATATTTTTTGGAGAGATAAATACTAGATTTGTAAGTCAGAAACAAAATAGTAATACAAACATGACTATATACATATTTTGAAGATACTAAAATTCTAAAATACTGCTTCTGAACTAACTAGTGACCTATACTGACCCTCTATAATTAAGTCGAAGTTTTTTCTTTCCTATATAGTTTTTTGATAAATATTCTATTAAATAAGAAAATAGTAGAGTAATTTTTATTTAGTATAGTCTATAATTTTTAAGGCCTATCACAGACTTAAAATGTGATCGTCTAATATTTGTAAAATGCAAATTTCATATTTCTTTTTTTTTTCTCTTTATCTCTTCCCTCTTTTATTTCTTGATTTGTATCTTTTATTGTCTACTCTTATATCTTTTTTTTTTACGTTCTTAAAATTTTTTTTTTTGTTTTTTGCTTCTCTATAAGAAGATATCATCAGATTAGTGGTATCCTATTGTAGGTAGCAGTCAGACGAAGTGGTCTATTTCTGATATAGATAGTGTAACAGATCGTACTTAGGCTCTATATGGGAACTGAGTAATGCTAAACTTAGAAAATTAGATTAAATCTTCGAAAATATATAGTTTAAGAAGTCTAATAAAGTATTAACATGAC